GCACCAGAGGCAGTGGGAGAAGGCTACTTAGTGGTGCTGGGAAGGTGGAGGGAGGAGAGGGATCCCCTTTGGACTTCTCTACCTCTCGGTACACTGGGGTGGAAGGAGGAAGACCTGCCACAGCCCTGCCCATGCCAGAGGCTCACTGTGGACCTCAGGCAGGTTGCATGGCCTTTCTGTGTGTCACTGATCTCCATCCCAACCTGGCGAAAACAGAGGTGCTAACATTTGCTTCTGTTCTCTTGTGCGCACTAGATCTTTATTTACACTAAGCCTTGTAAATTGCCTGCTTAGCATTCATTGTGATTATCTGAAAGTCTCTTTTCCTTTAGTATTCATTGTGATTATCTGAAAGTCTCTTTTCCTGGGGGATTTTGAAGTAAAAAAAATATCACCCCTGTGTTGAATAAGTAGGACAGGGAAAGCCAGATACCATGCGATCTCACTTATATGTGAAATCCAATAAGCAAAATAAATGAACAAACAGAACAGAAACAAACTCATAGATACAGAGAACAAACTGATGATTGCCTGATGGGAGGAGAGAGGAGGGGATGGGTGAGAAAAATGAAGATTAAGAAGTGGACTGACTGGGCACGAGCCCACAGCAGGCACAGCAGGGCTGGGATGAGCGCTCTGGCAGGCAGGAGCGGTAGGTGTTGGGTCTAACCACTATGTTGTACACCTGAAACTAATTTAATACTGTGTGTCAACTGGAATTGAAAAATAAAAAATTTTAAAATATAATGAAATAGTCTAAGCATGCAAAAAAAAATTTTTTTATCCCAAACATAGTGACTGACACACAGGCACTCTTAAAACTGAGTAAATGAAATCATAAACAATTGAATGAATGAGTCAGCTAATCACTAGATCATTCAGAGGATGAGATCAGATAGCACATGTGGCAGGGTGATGAAAAACTCCCAACGATTAGTACTTGTTATTCCATTGCAGCAGTTTCTAAACACTTTATCTTAGGAGTGGCTGTGCCAAAATCCCTAGAGAGCGAAAATGCAGACGGTCGACTTGCCTTCTGAAGGTTCTGAGTCAATAGGTCTGGGGTGGGGCTCAGGAATCAGTACGTTCAAAGTTCCCCCAAGAGCATTTGTAGCATGGGTGGGGTCGGATTGAGAACTCTAGTGCGCCTTTTCACCTGGCCTTAAGTGTCCTCTGCTGCACTCTGAGGACCAAAGGTGATGGCCGTGGCGCTGGTCTGGGAGGAAACATGGGGAGGGCTGAGCACCCCAGTCCTGCTTGGAGGATTTGGGGGAGCCCTGCCAGCAACTGGCTGTCTCTAGTTCTTCCTGAGGTTACTGACAGGGAAGATATGATGAATACTAAGTCGCCGTGGGTAAGCTAACCTTTGGGTCATGAGATGTTCCTGAAAATCGCTGCTGATCTTATGTACTCACTTTGTCTTCCTTTTTTCTTGTTTTCATCCCTGGTGATTTTCCAAATGGGATGAATGACACTTCCCTTATTCAGTTATAGGCTGTAAGCATCAGGGACGGAATTTTCTAAAGTCTTCTGCTCATGACTCTGTAAATACTTTCCGTGGATGATGTTATCTGGTGGAAAACCAAGTTGTGACAGTAGACAGAGGGTGGTGGTGGGAGCTGGCCAGCACACAGCCTGACTTTAGTTCAACTTCTCTTGTTTACTTGGGAAACTCAGTAGCTATTTCCCCAGATTCAGACATAGTACTCTGCAGCTTTTTAACATGTTGCTCTAAATATATATGAGGGCGAAACAATGAGACAGGGTTCCATCTCTCTGGGGAACAATTTCTAACTCTTTGTTAAGTCATCTTCTCAGTACAAGAAGTTCCTGAAATGCTTAGCATTATTAAATGAAATGTTGTATTTATTAACTTAGAATATTGTAGTTTTCAACTGAGCAGTAATTGAGCTACACAGAGTTGGTCTACTGTGGTTAAAGCAGGGACTGAGACATTCTGAGTTCAAGCCTTGATGGTTGATTAGGATAAATTAATTCAGCTCTCCTTGTTTCAGTGTCCTCATCAGTAGAATGGGGATAATTAAACCTCCCCCACAGACTGTTTTGATCATGATTGAATAAGATAACATGCCAGAAACTGTGCGGAATTCTTGGGACGTAAGAAGCCTTCAAATGTCAGCAGCATTATTGTTCAATTAGTGAACAAACTTTACAGGAAGAACAACTAAGTGCCATCCATTTATATATATATAT